GAATGCATTTTCAAATTGAATTTTGCTACAAATATCCCACGGCGTCATGATGAAAATGCAATCCTAAGTGTTCTAGCTGTTAGTCTAAATGCATTTAGGACAAATAGCATTTAAATGATCATTATGCTACCATTTCTGCTTGGACATGTTACACATATCAAATCAATTTGTGTTATACATTTTCATTTTCATTTCGCAACTTATAAAGCATTCAAATTTGCATGCAATTTATATATTAAGACTACTGTTGGAAATGGCTAATGTCAATTATATAATATAATTTTCATTTTACTTTTGCACCAAACTTTGCACGTATGGGTAATGGAAAATGTAAATTTAAATACAGAAATACAATGCCATTTTGAATATTGCGTTGCCATTTTGAATATTGCATTGCCATTTTGCATATTGCATTTTAAATTGAATTTCGCTACCTATATGCTTCCATAGACATTAGCACAATGTGTGACACATTGCAATGAGCCTTTTTCATGCAACACAAGAATAAAAAAATCTTAAAACCATTTTTACTTAAATTGTCACTTCGAATTGATAGTGTATGCAAGAATGGTTTCATCTACAATTTACACTGAAATTCTCCTCATGGTTTAATAAATGAGATGTTTTGTTGATGCTGCTTTGTATTTATTTCCTCTTTTAATTTAAAGTCTTTGGGTCTTACTTACAAAGCATCCCTACAGCTGTGCAAGTGTTATTATAGTACTATTTATATAGTAGACTCAGAACTATATGTTACATTTTTGATTAATACAAATTTTATTTTAAAAGTTTCTTAATTTGATTATTTTATTATTATTTTACTATTGAATTGTTTATGTAATATTTTACTGTATAATTTAATTGTTACATTTTTTTTTTTTGTATAAATTAAATTTTAAATATTACTATTTAGGTTTAATTATGTTTATGTCAGTTTTATTCAAGTTTTAGTTTTTATTTATTTCTAGTTCCAGTTTTTTTCAAATGTTTATTTCAAATGTTTTAGCTTAAACTTATTTCAGTTAGTTGCCAAACCAACATTCCTAAAAAAAATAAATAAATAAATAAAATAATTAAAAAAATAATAATAAAAGTGCTTTAATGAACTAATATTTACTTTTAGATAACAATAATAACTCTGTATGCAAAAAAAAGGTTCTCACACAAATATTTCTGTCAGATTCACATACACATGCACACATAAATTTGTTCATACTCTCTTTCTAATGTTAATGAGATACAGATCATTCTAAATGAGATATGAAATATGTGTGTATGCATGCTTAGTGAACGCGAGCTTGTCTTTTGACTGCAGTGAGTCCATTGCAGCAGTCCCACTCAGCTCTTCATTTTTCCTGTGCACTTTCAGGTAGAGCCAGTCTACATGGCAAAGCGTCTTTGCAGATCGACCAGGTGCGCTCAGAGGACCAGGGCTGGTACGAGTGCAGGGTCCTCATGCTGGAGCAACAATACGACACCTTCCACAACGGCAGCTGGGTTCACCTCACAGTCAACGGTGAGAACCTCGCCACTCTCACCGTACTAGTACTGTGAAAGACACACATTATCTATCTATCTATCTATCTATCTATCTATCTATCTATCTATCTATCTATCTATCTATCTATCTATCTATCTATCTATCTATCTATCTATCTATCGTTCATTCTGTCGTTCCATCCATCTCAAGTTGCAGTGGTTTGTGTATAAGGCTTTGCTTATATCTGCATATGTGAATGTATGTAGCCTACTCGGTTTCTCTTGAGACTCTGCATACACTGCAGGACGGACCAACATGCATTTCTCCTTGTTTCTCTCTCTCTCTTTCGGTGTGCTCTCTTCCCCTCCCCCTCGTTTTTAACGAGTGTCTGCTTTTGGGGGTTGAGTAGGACTAATCGCGGCTTGATTTCATTTTCATTTCTAATATCAGCAGTAAATCAGAGCTGTGAGGAGTGGAGGAGGATGTGACAGTCTCTTACCACTCATGACTGGCTGCTGCTGTGACTAATATGTGTGGTAGACCCAACAAAAAACAGCCTTCATGCTCTTGCTACAGAAATGAGCAATGTACTCCCTTGTGGTCTAGGTCTGCTGCCATCGTTTCCCTCAGAAAACGTTATTGCAGTCTCCCTTGTTAGAGCCAATATTTTGTTCTTGTCGTACACTGGGCAATAATAGGTAATGATTTGATTTTGTGTTAATTATTTAATCAATGTCTGTAATCTTTAAGGTAATCTATATGTTAGTTAACTCCTAAATGTTGACACGTTTCTAGGAAAATTAATAAAAATACTGATCCTACTCATCCTGCACTACACAGATATTTATTCAATCAAATTCACTCCAATCCCTTCGGTAAACAGACTAGCAAGTAACAAATTTGAGTTCATGGCTGTGACGTACTGTAACAAAACCCTGGCTGTTTAGAAATAAAAGAGGCTATCATTTGATATGCCCTGCCAAAACTTCCTGTTTTGTGCTTGTCAAGTGATTTCATGAAGCCTACATTCAATATTATGAGCCTTTGGGTATGGGCCAGCATTCAAAAGAAACCCATCGGCTCGCTCTGAGATCTGCATGCCCTTATGTCCATGGCCGGACTTACCATTGGGCTTGAGCGGGCTGCAGCCCATGGGCCCTGCCTTGTAGGGGGCCCCGCCTTTGCCCATTTACGTTTGTTTGATTTGTTTGTTATATGCCAGTCAGAATTCAGAAATTATTAGCCGCATTTCCACTGCACACGCAAGATCTAAACAGGCCAGCCGGGGCTACAGCTTACAACTACGACCTTCAATGCCACTATCAAACAGCATAAACTGGTATTTATGATTATTTCACATAGAAGAAGGACACACGTATTGAATCGCGTCTGCACCGATTAGTTTGTTATCACATGGCTACTTTTTAACAGCTCCATTAAGCCTTTAGCCCCAAAGGGCGCACATTTAGAAAGATAATGATAAATTCTCAAATGTTCACACCTCATTTCTTTACAGAGGATGATTCTATATTACTATATTAATGTTCCACTAAATTATGCGATCATCTGATGAGTTTTGAGCGCTCTCTCTCGTCTTACTGCCATTACACATAGTGGGGAAGAAATGTCATCAAAATGATTTTAAATAAAGAATAGCAATTTAATGAGTTTCTGTTTCTGATGCCTATGATATAGGCTTTTTCTTTCTTTCTCGAATATCTGCACGATCGCAAATGTACAATAAACAACAACTTACAGAGTGACTTTCAGACACAAAATTCCGTTTTGCTCCATCAGAAAGAAAATAGAACAAACAGCAGAAGCTCCGAACAACAGTGTTTTGTTCCTCAGCGTTACACGGTTCAGCAAATGATTCAGTCAGGCTATAAGTACAGTCGTTTGCAAAGTTAAATTAATCAGCTTTTTAAACGAATCGGTTGTTTCAACTCACTCATTAAGACAGTCACTTCCTGCCACCTACTGGCGGTTGTAGTTTCATATTTAAAAAAGTAGCTTATTTCATTTTTGCAATCATTTAATATTTCTACATTAAAATGTTATATAACATTTATGCACAATCCATCTATGAATTTTGTTGATAGTGATTTCATTTGATTGTTAATAGCCAGCATGTCTTTTTATTCGATTTAATTTATTGATTAAATAAAAACCTGACATAAGAGGACACAGATTTGACAATAACTTTTATAATACTAATAAGCCAACATCTCTGGCTTGTTTTTTTTTTTTGCTCAAATTTATTTCAGGGTTTTGATCTCTCAACTGAGATAACACATCCAGTTTATTATATTATAATGAATATTTAATATTATATTTAAACTTTGACTATAGCCTAGACATGTTGCATATTAATTGTACTATTTATGAACCTCAAAGCATATGTTTGTGTATTTTGTGTTACTCCATAATGGTGTTCTATTTGAGGGCATTTGTAGTGTAGGTATAGGGTCCAAACATAACCTCAAGCCCAGGGGCCCCCATCCCCCTAAGTCCTGCCCTGCTTATGTCTAGTAATATTTCACCAGGCAGCAGAGCCCTCATCATTTCCATTACACTAATGGATATGTCTTCCATGGTGCCAAACTACAGAGGCAAATTTGGGGTAGCTCAAGGCTTTGGTCATGTCATGTTCCTCCCTCTCATTCCGTTTGAACATCACATTTTGCCTGATTTATTATTTATGGGCATGGTTCAGCGCCGCTGGAAATATATTATCTCCTCCATGGTGAGTGTTTGCATTTTATTAGATGATGAATTTAATACGATCCATTAAGACAATATGTAAACTATCATGATTCACAGCTCAGTAATCATTGCCTGGGGGTCAATATCCAAAAGGCCCTTGGTCGCATATTAATAGTATTACAACACCGCTGTAGGCTTAAATCAAGTGCTGACGCAGCAGATTAATTCCAATACTGGAGTCTTATGTATTTGGCTGCACAGCATACTGATTCTCACTGTACATCACCTTACATGTATGAGCTGCAGTGGCAGAGGATAATTATTATGATAAGATAATTATGGGCGTCATTAAGGAACCACTGTCTCTTCTCATGTTGGTGAGAAATCGTTAGCGTGTGTTGGTATGTTGGTGATAAGCAACTCTGTTGGTCCTTTATAGTGTCCATTTATTGAATCACATCCCCAAGTGAGATATGTGTCCATTCAGTGAACAGCAGCAGAGAGGAAGTGGTAAAAGTGTGCAGTAAATGATCATGGTCGTCCTGGCTGAAATTGCACAGGAGGGTATAGTATAGAATATAGTATCTGTATTTGACACATTTTTTTCTTAGTTTTTTTCCACAAAGAAACCCAATATATATATATATATATATATATATATATATATATATATATATATATATAATATAATAA